GCAGTTATTGTTGTCAACCATAGTTCCCCTTCCATGATTGGTAACATTTGAGGTTATTTCTTCTAATTGCACCCTTGTGCCATTAATCATCTTCTCTCTGTTCCCTCCCTGCCCTTCCTGGCCTCCCATAACTGCTATATCTAATCTTTACTTCTATGAGATAATTTTTTTTAGCTTCCACATATAAATGAAAACATGTAGTATTTGTTTTTCTGTATCTGTTTTATTTCACTTTTAATTCATTGAAGTGAATTCTTTCTTAATAATAAGTAAAAAGCTCCGCACAGTGATGCTCACCTATAATCCCAGCAGCTCAGGAGACTGAAACAGGAGGATTGCAAGTTCAAGACCAGCCTGGGCAACTCGGCAAGACCCTGTCTTAAAATAAAAACAAAAAGGGCTGGGGATGTTGCTCAGTAGTAATGCACTCCTGGGTTCAATCCCCAGTACCAAATAATAATCACAGTAATAATAATAATTAGTCAAAAGATGTTTTGAACCACCTTCCTTCCTGGAATTTTGATTTTTTTTTTTTTTTAGAAGCACTGAAAGATGGACAAGATTTTTCTTTCACATTACTGTGTGTTTCTGTCATTTGAATTCAGTTTTACTATAAGAGCAAATCAAAATATCAAATATCATAGTAAAAATTTAAGACTACACAAGGAGGGGCCATTTAAAAGAGGCTGGTAGCTTCACTGGGATTTTAATATGATTCTGTCGGAGCTTGCTTCTTCACCTTCATGTGATAGTTTGCATTTTGTAGAATCCTTTTAGATGTGTCAAAAGTTTTAATCAGTTAAAGCTTTTGTGTAAAGCTGCTCAGGAAGGAAATCCTATGTCTGCCCTTATTGACTTATGAAAGCCTCCAGGTTTATATCAAATGAGATAATGTAATTTGATGAAATGAGATAATGTATATGAACCTACTTGATGAAGAACTCTAGAGCTGGAGGTGTCAAGGGTGTGTGTTTAGCACATGCAAGACCCTGGGTTCAGTCCCCAGCACACGCGCGCGTGCACGTGTACACACACACACACACACGCACAAAGTTGGCTGTAGAGATTTATATTTTATGAGTTATCAGAATTCTTTTTTGTTTCTTTTTTGATGATGGTGGTATTGGGTATCGAATGCAGGGCCTAGCACTCTGCCACTGAGCCACATCCCTAGCCTGAGCTAACATACTTTTTTTCATGGAGATGCCCATTTCCTATAATACATTTCCCTTTTTTTAAACTTAGAAATGCTAAATAAATATGATTAATACTTATTGAATGCCTAATATGTACCAATGAAACCCTTATTAATAATCTAAATGCCAACTGTTCTATTTAAGTGGAATATTCATCTATTTAAATGTTACTTATCACTTTCTTTCTTTTTAAAAATATGGAACCTGATATAGTTTCAGTGATGTTGTCTCCCCAAAGATTCAGGTGTTGTAAATTTGTTGCCCCAGTGACAGTATTGAGAGGGGCTATGAAATCTTTAAGAGGTGGAGCTTAGTGGGAGGTCCTTAGGACATTGAGCCCTACCCTCCCAAGGAGGTGAAGTATTTCTTCTCAGACCCTGATTAGTTCTGGAGAGAGTATTCCCATAAGTCTAAGCCCCCCTCCACCCAGTCTCCCTCTGGCTTCCTATTTAGAGAGATGAATTCTTTATCCTGCACACTCTTCTCATCTGCCATGGGGCCCTTGCCAGAGTGTGCACCATGGTGTTTGGGTTTTCAGCATCCAAAGCTGTAAGCTAAATAAACCTCTTTTTTTTTTTTTAATGTTAACCTGCCTCAGGTATTAAGTTATAGTTAACACGAAATAGACTATCATAGAAGTCATAAATGAATACACTCTATTTTTAGAAGATTCAAGGATGCCAAAGTATATAGGGAAAAATGAGAAAGACCATGTCCAACATCCCTTCCTTCTCCTTTTCAGAGGTAGCCAACATTTGGTATATACCTTTGTAATTTGCTTTCTTCATATTTACATTCATATACATATGTGCTTTCAAAAAAATGAACATTAATGAATTTGACTATAGTTTACATTTTTTACTTGCTAGTATGTCTTGGATAACCTACCATGTCGGTACATATAAGTTCCCTTTATTATTTTGGACAAAGGCACAGTATTCTAGAATATTACCACATGATTTTAAATGTAAGATCTGTGAGGGTGAGACTTGTCTATTTTATTTAGTGTTGTCTCCAGTTCCTAGAGCACTCAGTAAATATGAATGAATGAATGAATGAATGGTTTAACATCCAAGATATTTCTGGTTGTGTCTATTAAAAACAATACTGATATGAAAATGCTCTCTCGTGCCTCCTTGTGTTCGTTCGGGAGTCATTTCCAGGTCAGATATCCAGACATATTTTTGAAGACATAGGTTCATTGTCTGCTAGTTTCTAGTATTGCCAGTAAAGGTGTCATCCCAATCTTATTCCAATTTTTTACAGGCCACCCATTTTTGTCTCATAGAAAGGTTCTTAGACTTTTCCATCTTTGGTGCTCAGAAAATTTACAACAGTGTGTCTAGACAGATGTGGTTGCTTTTCACTTATACTGATCAGCACTCATTGAACCCCTTAAACTACAAAGACACACCTTTCTGTAGCTGTGGAATTTTTTTCTCTTCTGTCTTTTGTTTCTTCTTTATTAGTCTTTCTGTTCTCTGCTGCTCAGACTCCTGTTAGGTCAGTGTTAAGATTTCTGCATATATCTTCCATGCTTTTTAATCTTTCTCATTTCTTGAAATTTGGGGCAGAAAAAGAAACAAATACATGTGTTCTCTTTGCCATCTTGATCCAGTTTCTTGACATAGTTCTTTTTATCCCTTAAGGCTGCCCCCCCTTTTTTAATGTCTGTCGTTTTATTTGTCTCAGGAGTCAGTTCCTAAAGGAATATGACTCATATTTTATATATTGATGGAAGGTTGATATTTGCTTAACATACTTTTGTTTTATAGTCAGCTTTTTTTGAAGATGCCTTTTTAAAAAAAACCATGATACCAATTTAAAAATTAGACTGACTCTTGCTTTGTGCTATTGGTAGTGAGCCCAGTCACATTAAAAAATGTGTTGGTATCTTAATCACTCATCAGGTCCAGGCAGCTCCAAGTGCTGATAAAGACCTTGATGCTTCTCCAGATGTCTAAGTGTTAGCTCCAGGTGCAGTAAGCAGAATATTTGGAGCTGGCACTTAGGTTCTCAAGCACACACTATGATTATAAATCAGTTCCAAGTCCCTGGTCTCCTAGACAAATGATTCTTAAACCTGGTTCAGTATCAGAATCATTCCATGGCACTTCATAAACGTATAAAGGTGTAGACCCTCCATGGGACCTGTGAAACCAAAATCCTGAGGTGGGTGGGCTGGGCATCTATGTCTTTGAAGTCTCATTGTGTTGGCCATGCTGGCCTCAAACTGCTGGGCCCAAGTGATCTTTCCTACCTTAGCCTCCCAAGTAGCTGGGCCTACAACATGTACCACCACACCCAACTATGCCTCGCTTTTTTGTTGTTGTTGTTGTTGTTGCTGTTGTTACTGTTGTTTTTGTTTTGTTTAAGGACTATAAAGTATTCTTTGGTATAGATATATTGTAATTTTCTTCGTTGACCCCTGTTGGTGGACATTCAGTATGCTTCCAGTCTTTTATTGTTACAAATCACTCTAGTAGATATCCTTGTATATTTAGCTTTGTACACATTTGTGAATTATTTATGGAATAAATTCCTAGATGTGGAATTGTTCAAAGGATGTACATATTTATAAATTGAAGAGATTTTTAAAAATTTGTTTTTCTAAGTTTTTGGTTATATTAAAACATGAGTATCATAAAACTTACCAACTTAACCACTTCTGAGTGTACAGTTGAGTGTAAGTTTAAATGTATAGTTCATTTGTGGAACTGTCACCTCTGTCCATCTCTAGAACTCTTCATCTTGTAAAACTGAAACTCTATATCCATTAAACACTAACTCTTAATTCTATCCTCTCCCTAGCCTGACAACCACTGTTTTAACATCTGACTGACTGATTTTGACTACTCTAAATAGCTTACATAGGAAGAATCAGAGAATATTTGTATTTTTGTAATGGATATATTTCATTTAACATAATAGTCTCAAGATTCATTTGCGTTATAGTACGTGTCAGAATTCCCTCCTTTTTAAAAAAAATTTAGATGTTAATGAACCTTTTATTTTATTTATTTATGTGTGGTGCTGAGAATCAAACCCAGTGCCTTACATATGCTAAGCAAGCACTGTACCACTGAGCCACAACCCCAGCTCCCCTTCCTTTTTAAGACTGAGTAGTATTCCAGTGTATGTAGTTACCACATTTTGCTTATCCATTCATTCATCAGTGGATGCTTGGATTGTTTCCACATCTTAGCTATCATGAATAATGCTACTATGAACATGGGTAGGCAAATATCTCTTCAAGACCCCGTTCCCATCCTTTGGGTAGACACCCAGAAGTGGAATTGCTAGATTATATATTAATTCTATTTTTCATTTTTTGAGGAACCACTGTACTGTTTTCTACAATGTCTGCACCATTTCATGTTCCCCAAGTAGTGCACAAGACTTTATTTTCTCAACATCCTTGCCAGCACATATCATTTTTGTTCTGTTTGTTTGTTTGTTTTGTTAGTAACCATCCTAATGTGTATCAGGTGAAATGTCATTGTAGTTTTCATTTGTATTTCCCTAAATGGTTAATAATGTTGAGCACCTTTTCATGTGTTTTCAGTCATTTGTACATCTACTTTGGAAAAATGTCTATTTAAATTCTAGATTTTTTTATGGTTGAATTTTAATAGTTTTTCTTATAAATTCTGCATATTAATCCTATTAAATACATATGATTTGCAGAAATTTGAGCTTTTGTCTGTAAAAATATGCTTTTTAATCTTCAGATATTATTTTCTTAGGCTGAAAATATTTCTAAATCTTGAAAGTTTTTATATTTTTTTTCCCATTTTGACTTAGGCAAGTACTAAAGTGGAAGTGGACATGGAGAAAGCAGAGAGTCTGCAGGTGACAAGAGGAGACTTCCTTGCTTCTTTGGAGAATGATATCAAACCAGTGAGTATAGATAATTGAGTTATATATAAGCCATAATAATAGTGATGATAATTCAGGAAAAATAAGTGCCATTTTCCCAGTATTACAGAAGATGATATCATATATAGTTTTATAAAATGAAAAAAATCTTAGTACTAGAAGTGTCCAATATATGAAATATCTGGGGCTGCTGACCCAGTTCACTGGACACTCTTGAGTTCCATCACCAGCATCATAAATAAAAGTAAACATCTATACGATGTCTCTTGGTGGCTGGATGATTAACCATTATCTAAATATTTTCATGATAAGAAGCTTACCACCTTATATGGCAGCCCATTCAATTTTGAGACTTTATTAGTTCTTATTTTATATTGAACTAGAATTAGTTTTCTTATTGGTTTTCATATAATCTCAAGATATAGAAACCTGAATTCAGTTCATCCTTCATGTGTGAGTTATTAGCTCTTATACCCTCCCCCCCTCTTCCTTTCTACTTTTCCTCACCTCCTCTAAGGGTTTCTTCTTTTTTTTCAATTCCTCTAGTTCTCTGACCATTGTAGCTTCTAAGCTCTTAACAATCCTAAGTACTTTATAGAGTTTTCTAAAAATGTACTCAAAACAGAGTCGGAGCTTCAGAATATAGGATAAGGTCATTAGCTCATTTTTCTACAAAACAATCACTAACGACTTCAAGTAGCCATTTTTAGAGTCCTTTTGTTAGTATAAAAACAAACTGTAGAAAGGCCCAGTTCTTAAAGATTTGTTTTCTTTCTTAAATGGAAAATCTACACAGGAGTATATTAATCTTATTCTTTTAATTCATGACACACTTTTGTCATTTGTCCATGTACATAGTGTATGTAAAATAAAATGTGTTATTTGTTTGTTACTTTCTGGGACTTGCTATTTTATTAAATATTTCAATTACCAAGAGTCATTCATATGATTTCCTATAACTATACACCATTCATTTTCATTACTAAATAGCATTCTTTGAAGTATTGAATACCACAATGTATCCATTTCCTGTCAATAAATAAAGTTTCTGGGGTTTTGGTTATATGAATTTCCAACTTTAAAATATAATTTCATGGGCTGGGGATGTGGCTCAAGCGGTAGCGCGCTCGCCTAGCGTGCGTGCAGCCCGGGTTCGATCCTCAGCACCACATACAAACGAAGATGTTGTGTCCGCTGAGAACCAAGAAAAAATAAATAAATATTAAAAAATTCTCTCTCTCTCTGTCCCCCTCTCTCTCTCACTCTCTCTTTAAAAATATATATATATGTAATTTCAAATCATTTTCCAAGAGGTTGAACCAATTAGCACTGTCTCCAATAATGTAGGAAAGACGCTTCCTCTACATCCTCTCCAACACTTGGTATTCTCAAACTTGAGTCTTGCCATCCAGTTAAACGTAAATTCTAAGGGGGCTAATTTTGGTCTTGTTTTCCATTTCACGCATTACTTACAAAGTTAAGCATTTCTCATGCTTATTGACTTCATGCCTGTCTTCTGTGAAATGCCTTTCATGTCTTTTGCCTATCTTTCTGTTGTATTGTTTATTTTTGTTTGACCTGCACCAGTTCTTTTCATAGTATTCTTTTCTCACTTTAAAAAAAATATTTATTTTTTAGTTATAGGTGGACACAATGTCCTTATTTTTACTTTATGTGGTGCTGAGGATCGAACCCAGTGCCCCACACTTGCTAGAAGACCGCTCCTCCTCTGAGCCACAACTTCAGCCCATCACTTTTTTGATTGTGTTAATTACACATAAAATTTACTGTCTTAATTATTTTTTGAGGTCATCAATTTGATAGTATTAAATTCATAATGTTTTGCAGCCATCATTACTATCCATCTCAGAAAACTGAAACGCTACTTTTTTTTTTTTTTAAAGAGAGAGAGAGAGAGAGAGAATTTTTAATATTTTTTAGTTCTCGGCGGACACAACATCTTTGTTGGTATGTGGTGCTGAGGATCGAACCCGGGCCGCACGCATGCCAGGCGAGCGTGCTACCGCTTGAGCCACATACCCAGCCCATGAAACGCTACATTTGTTAAACAATAACTCCCTTTTCCCTCTCTTCCCAGAGTCTGACAAACACCTTTCTACTGTCTCCATAATTTTGACTGCTCTCAGTACCTCACATAGGTGAAAGCATACAGTATTTGTCTTTTGGTGACGGAGATTCCCAAGGTTCATCCATGTTGCAACATATATCAGAGTTTTCTTTTTTAAGGCTGAGGAGTATTCCATTGTATGTATTTACTACATTTTGCTTATCCATTCATTCACCAGTAGACACTTGGGCTGCTTGCACATCTTAGCTATTATGAATAATGCTGCTTTGAACATATATAAATATCTCTTCAAGACCCACTTTTTGGTCCTTTGGGATATTTGCCCACAAGCAGAAATGCTAGATCATATGTTTCTGGTTTTTTATTTTTGGGGGGGAATCACCATACTGTTTTCCATTTATACCATTTTACATTCCCACTAATAATGTACAAAGGTTCCATTTTCTCTATATCTTTGCTAACACTTATTATTTTCTTTTTTCTTTCTTTCCTTTTTTTTGTAGTAGTATCCATTTCAGTGGATATGTGTGAGGTCTTATTATAGTTTTGATTTGCATTTCCTTAATAACTAGTGATATTGAACATCTTTTTATATGTTTATTGGCCATTTGTTATATAGTCTTTAAAAATAATTATTTGTTATAAGTACCTTCTTTAAAGGTAAGTCAATTTGTTTTAGCCCTGTGTACTTTTTATGACTTTTAAAACACAAATTATTTTCAAAAGTTAATGAACAATGGAAATGGTTTACTCTTTTGTCATTATCATTTGTAATAGTTACCAAAAATGTTAGAGCCTGGCCAACTGATCTATTGCAAGATTTGTTTAATAATGAATAAATTGGCTATGAGGAAATAAGACCAAAACATTTACTTTTATTTATTCCAAGGGTCTGGAGGATAAAAGAAAAAAATGAAATGATAGACTGCATAATGAAGATATAACTACTATGTAGCCTCAGACAATCACTTTTTAATTTTTTTGGGGGGCCGGGGAGGTACCAGGGATTGAACTCAGGGTCACTTGAACACTGAGCTGCATCCCCAGCCGTATTTTGTATTTTATTTAGAGACAGGGTCTCACTGAGTTGCTTAGCATCTTGTCACTGACACTGGCTTTGATCCTCCTGCCTCAGCCTCCTGAGCCTCTGGGATTAGAGGCTACACTCTTTTATGAATTAGGCATTTTAAAGCAGCTTCTAAAAGTCTTGGAAAATATACTTTGAACAATTAAAGACAAAAGCTAGCCAACCTACTACATATATCCTCGAAAAGCCATTTAATTGGTCTTTATTAGGCTCTTCTTTATAACTTTTTACGGGACCACTGAATTTACATATCCAGACTAAAAAATGAGAACTTTCCTCTGTACTCAGGAATGAAAGTACAGAGTAGGTAATGGCAGTACTGAGAGTGATCTGAAAAATTACTTTGTAGTAAAGTAATGGAAACAGGAGAACTGGGCACTGTTTTAGAGACAATATTACAAAATGACTTTCTGCAAGATGGAAGTTATAAGAACTGTTAAAATTAACACATACATCAGGTAATCAAAAATGACTTTTTCAGGGATATGATAATCTTTAAAAAGTTTAAATTCTCTGCCAGGCATGGTAGGGCACACCTGTAATCCCAGCTACTCATGAGATTGAGGCAGGAGGATCAAAAGTTCAAGGCTAGTCTGGGCAATTTAGCAAGACCCTTTCTCCAAAAAAAAATTTTCTTAAAAAGGGTGAGAGATATAGCTCAGTGTGCAAGGCTCTGGATTCTATCCCCAGTACTGTTGGGCGGGGGGGAATGTTGAAATTCTCAAAATATATGACTATACATGAACACGAACTTATTTTTTTCAACACATTTATTCTCCTGTTAATCATGAAAATCCAATTCAATTATTTGTACTAAAGTTATTGACTACTTTGGGCAGCTATTTTGATGGGAATTATAATCTTTGTGATTAGAAGTTGGAAATGAAGAGGAATGTGATTTAAGCTTCAATATGTGATGAACTCAAAAAAAAAAGAATTATTGCTGTTATTTTCTTTTTCTAACCTTTAAATTTTTCACGGGGCTGGGGATGTGGCTCAAGCGGTAGCGCGCTCGCCTAGCGTGCG